CGGAAGCCACCACAGGTCAGTTTCAGGATAAAGTGTGACTGGGGGTTCTTCAGATGTTCACTCTTCCATATTAACATTCTTGACTTCCTTAACAATTTTTTTTACTGATTGTTCCAGTTCTTTAGTGACACTTTCAAGACCAACGAAATTATAACAAAATGTTTTTCTCCCCCTTTTCCTTGTTTTATCCAACCTTATCCATTCAGAGGAGACCATTTCTATCCAACCCAGCCTGGGGGAGTTCTCTATCCTGGATGTCACAAGCAATTCTGTCCATCTCTACTGGACCGTCCCCACAGGAAACTTCGACTCCTTCCTCGTTCAGTACAAGGATGCAGATGGCCAACCCCAAGCCCTGCCTGTGGAGGGAGACTTCAATGAAGTCATAGTGACCAACCTGGTTCCTTCGCGTAGATACAAGTTCAACCTTTATGGAATCTCTGGGCGTAAACGCTCCAGCCCACTCTCCACCGATGCCACCACAGGTCAGCTTCAGTATTTAGCATGGCTGGAGGCTGTGGGCCCCATCCTATTGGCCTTTGGGTTGCATGAGTAGTTGGTTGGTTTGTGTGTGTGTGTGTGTGTGTGTCCATGTGCATAGCCCCACTCACGCAAACATCATGGGCGATTGCGGCCCCACTCATGGGAGCATTGCTGTGATCATCGTTGGCATTCTGGGCCGCACTCACATGGGCACTTGCAGCCCATTCACCAGAGGTGGTATTCAGCAGTTCTGACCAGTTCTGGAAAACCGGCAGAGGAAGTTTTGAGTAGCTCGGAAAACCAGTAAATACCACCTCTGGCTGGCCCCGTTCCCATCTATTCTCTGCCTCCCGAGTCCCAGCTGATTGGGAGGGAATGGGGATTTTGCAGTAACCTTCCCCTGCCACGCCCACCAAGCCAAGCCATGCCCACCAAGCCACACCCACAGAACTGGTAGTAAAAAAATTGAATCCTACCACTGCCATTCAAGTGGCCCCACTTAGGTGAGCAAGACTAATATAAATATGCCCTTTTGTTCATTTTCCAATTTTAGCCCATCCTAGAGATGCAAGGCAGCCAATTACTGTCCAGCCCAGCCTGGGGAACGTCTCAGTTGTGGATGTCACAAGCACTTCTCTCCGTCTCCATTGGACCGTCTCCACCGGGAACTTTGACTCCTTCTTGATCCAGTACAAGGATGCAGAGGGACAACCCCAAGCGTTGCCTGTAGAGGGAGACTCCCGCGAAGTCACTGTGACCAATCTGGCTCCTTCACACAGATACAAGTTCAACCTCTATGGAATCTCTGGGCACAAACGCTCCACCCCTCTCTCCACTGATGCCACCACAGGTCAGTTTCTGGAGTCTGAGTGGCTGGGACTTTTCAGCTTTTGTACCTTCATATTAACATCCTGTACCTTGACAATAACATTCCTTCGCAGGCAGCATTTTATTGAATCTTTCAGATCCGAGGTTCCATTTTCAACAGCCAGGCATTTGAACCAAGCATTTTTCTTTTCCATATCCTTCTTTCAGCTCAAACCCCAGAGGAGCCAATTCCTGTCCAACCCGGTCTAGGGGAGTTTTCCGTCCTTGATGTCACAACTGATTCTGTCCATCTCTATTGGACTGTCTCCACTGGGAGTTTTGACTCCTTCCTGGTCCAGTACAAGGATGCAGATGGCCAACCTCAAGCGTTGCCTGTGGAGGGAGACTCCCGTGAAGTCACTGTGACCAACCTGACTCCTTCACGCAGATACAAGTTCAACCTCTATGGAGTCTCTGGACACAAACGCTCCAAGCCACTCTCCACTGATGCCACCACAGGTCAGCTTCAGGATTTAACATGCCTGTGAGCTTTTCAGCGTGTGTGTGTGTCTGTGTGTGTGTCTGTGTGTGTGTNGAAAAGGGCGGCCTATAAATGTTAATAAACTCTCAAACTCTCAAACTGAGTGCTGATCTGAGTACTGGTGGCGAGGTGCTGGAGTCCTTTTCTTTTTTTGGACTGGTTAATTTTCTCCTCTGCATAATCTATAGATGTTGTTAATGTCTATGTGTCTATTAATGGCAATCTGTCAGGCTTTTAGAAATTCCCTGGCATTTTTGAAGTTGGCCTGGTCTAGAATGGTCACAGTTTCCCAGCTGAAACTATGGTTAAATCTGCCTATATGTTGTGAACTTTTTATAACTCTTATAACTAAGTCCTTTTTTTATTCCTCTCCTTTAGCCCACATTAGAGTCTCAGTGGAGCCAATTCCTGTCCAACCCAGTCTAGGAGATTTCTCAGTCCTTGATGTCACGAGTGATTCTGTCCGACTCCATTGGACTGTCCCCACTGGGAACTTTGATTCCTTCCTGATCCAGTACAAGGATGCAGAGGGACAACCCCAAGCGTTGCCTGTAGAGGGAGACTCCCGTGAAGTCACAGTGACCAACCTGGCTCCTTCTCGTAGATACAAGTTCAACCTCTATGGAGTCTCTGGACACAAGCGCTCCGGGCCCCTTTCCACTGATGCCACAACAGGTCAGCTTCAAGGATTGTGAGATTTTCATACATTGTACCGTCAGATCAGCATGATTGTTTTCCTTATTAAACAGTGTTATTGCTGCAGTAGTTGCCTAACACTTCAATATCTTGTTTCATGCTACCTCTTGCAAGTTGGAGCATTTGTTAATATTGTGCTGGGTTTTTGTTCTTTTGCCTGGCCCCTTTTGGAATATTTCTTCCCATTTTTCAACTGCTCTTTATCCACCTGGTGGACACAAAACTAATTAGGGAGCAATATACAGTATATCAAGTATTTTTTGAAGCAGGTCAAGAAAGGATACTGCTGACAGGATGGTAGCCAGTACATAGGTCTCAATAATTCTCATTTTTTAAAGTCTTGATAGAGTCCAAGACCGGGGATGAAACCAGTTACAATAGGATCATTCTGAACATAAAGAAAACACATGTCATATTATCAACTTCTTGATATTATCTCAAAAGTAACAATAATTGAACAACATCAAATTATACAGAAATATTTCTTAAACACAGTACTTAGAAGTATTTTTTACTACCACAAAGATTATTATAACCTTTTTTCTTCTATTTCTCTCTTTTTACACCCCAATTCCAAATATTGAGATTGCAGTTCCTATCCAATCCAGCCTGGGGACTTCTCAGTCCTTGATGCCACCAGTGATTTGGTCCATCTCTACTGAACCATCCACACTGGGAGCTTTGACTTCTTTGTGGTCCAGTACAAAGATGCAAATGGCCAATCCCAAGCCCTGCCTGTAGAGGGAGACCCCAAGGAAATCCTTGTAACCAATCTGGCTCCTTCTCACAAGTTCAACCTCTATGGAGACTCTAGACAAAAAACACTCTGACCCCACCCTTGCCTCTACTTATGCCACCACAAGTCAGCTTCAGGAGTCATTGTATTTTTCAGCCCTTGTAACTTCACACACGGTGGCTCAGTGGCTAAGATGCTGAGCTTATCAGTCAGAAAGCTCGGCTGTTCGGCGGTTCGAATCCCTAGCGCTGAATGGAGTGAGCTCCCATCACTTGTCCTAGCTTCTGCCAACCGAGCAGTTCGAAAGCATCTAAAAATGCAAGTAGAAAAATAGGGACCACCTTTGGTGGGAAGATAACAGCGTTCTGTGCACCTTCGGCGTTTAGTCATGCCGGCCACATGACCACGGAGACGTCTTTGGACAGTGTTGGCTCTTCGGCTTTGAAACGGAGATGAACACTGCCCCCTAGAGTCAGGAACGACTAGCACATATGTGCGAGGGGAACCTTTACCTTTAACTTTGTATTAACATTTCTAGTTTCTTTAAAGTAGCATGGTTATTGAATCTTTCAACTCCAGGGTTGTATCGCCAACAGTCAGACATTCTAACCAAGCTTTTCTTCCATATTCCTCTTTAAACTCAAACCACAGAGCCCGGGAACGCAGCTTCTTTCCAACCCCACCTGGGAGAACTGTCAGTGCTTGATGCCACAAGCAATTCTGTCCGACTCCATTGGACTGTTTCTACAGGGAGCTTTGACTCCTTCCTGATCCAGTACAAGGATGCTGATGGCCAGCCCCAAGCCCTGCCTGTGGAGGGAGACTCCCGTGAAGTCACTCTGACCAACCTAGTTCCTTCGCGCAGATACAAATTCAATCTCTATGGAGTCTCAGGGCGCAAACGCTCCAACCCTATCTCTACTTTTGCCACGACAGGTCAGTTTCAGGAGATTCTATGCATGGGAGATTTTAAAACCATATTAGTATTATAGATTTCCTTCACATATAGCATATTTGCTATTTTTCCAAGTATTGGTGTTATCGTTCCAAATATCATCCAGAATTAAATCAGAGTTCAAGGCATAGCTTTCAATGAAGTTTCAATTTAATAAGAAAGACATGTTGGTACAAACTGTGGAAACCCAAATCTGAAACCTTCCTGGGTTTCCACCCAGTTGAAAGTTCAAAACCTTGCCCCCACACCTACAAGTCCATCACATTGTCCAATTTTCCTCTGCCACGCTGGCATTTCCACCCATCTAATTCTGGTCAGGTGCAGAGACAAAATATGACGTTGGGCTGGGCGCAAATGCTCCAGCCCCCTCTCCACCAATGCCAGCACAGGCCAGCTTCAGTATTTAGCATGGCTGAGCACTTTTCAGATATTATTCTTACAAATTAACATTCTTAATTTCCTTAACAAGTTAACTTTGTACAGATTGTCTATGGAGATTCTCAGTCATCCAGGTCTTGGTTGTCCCAAATGTTACCCTTTTACTGATTGTTGCAGCTCTTGGGTTGCATCTCCAGGATCAGGGACATTATAACTGAGCCTTTTCCTTCTTTCCACGTTTTAGTTCCCTTGGTAGAGGAATCAGTCCCTATCCAACCAAGCCTAGGAGACTTCACAGTTCTTGATGTCACAAGTGATTCTGTCCATCTCCATTGGGCTGTCCCCACCGGGAGCTTTGATTCCTTCCTCATCCAGTACAAGGATGCAGATGGCCAACTCCAAGCATTGCCTGTGGAGGGAGACTCCCGTGAAGTCACTGTGTCCAACCTGACTCCTTCACACAGATACAAGTTCAACCTCTATGGAATCTCTGGGCGGAAGCGTTCCAGTCCTCTCTCCATCGATGCCACCACAGGTCAGGATTTAGCATGACTGGGGACTCTTAACATGTTATTCGTCCATATTAATGTTCTTGGTTTTGATCATTATCAACCTTTTTATTGGCTATTCCAGCTTTTCATGGCGTCTCCAAGATCAGTGAAATTATAAATAAGCATTTCCTTTCCTTTCCGTGTTTTAGCCCACCTTACAATCATAGAAGATCCAATTCTTGTGCAACCCAGCCTTAGACACTTCTCTGTACTTGATGTCACAAGTGATTCCGTCCATCTCCATTGGGCTGTCCCCACCGGGAGCTTTGATTCCTTCCTCATCCAGTACAAGGATGCAGATGGCCAACTCCAAGCATTGCCTGTGGAGGGAGACTCCCGTGAAGTCACTGTGTCCAACCTGACTCCTTCACGCAGATACAAGTTCAACCTCTATGGAATTACTGGGCGCAAACGCTCCAGCCCACTCTCCACAGATGCCACCACAGGTCAGCTTCAGGATTTAGCATGACTGGGGACTCTTAACATGTTATTCGTCCATATTAATGTTCTTGGTTTTGATCATTATCAACCTTTTTATTGGCTATTCCAGCTTTTCATGGCGTCTCCAAGATCAGTGAAATTATAAATAAGCATTTCCTTTCCTTTCTGTGTTTTAGCCCACCTTACAATCACAGAAGATCCAATTCCTGTGCAACCCAGCCTTAGAGAGTTCTCAGTCCTTGATGTCACAAGTGATTCCGTCCATCTCCATTGGGCTGTCCCCACCGGGAGCTTTGATTCCTTCCTCATCCAGTACAAGGATGCAGATGGCCAACTCCAAGCCCTGCCTGTGGAGGGAGACTCCCGTGAAGTCACTGTGTCCAACCTGACTCCTTCACGCAGATACAAGTTCAACCTCTATGGAATTACTGGGCGCAAACGCTCCAGCCCTCTCTCCACGGATGCCACCACAGGTCAGCTTCAGGATTTAGCTTGGCTGGGGACTCTTAACATGTTATTCTTCCATATTAATGTTCTTGGTTTTGATCATTAGCAACCTTTTTATTGGCTATTCCAGCTTTTCATGGTGTCTCCATGGTCACTGAAATTATAAATAAGCATTTCCTTTCCTTTCTGTGTTTTAGCCCACCTTACAATCATAGAAGATCCAATTCCTGTCCAACCCAGTCTAGGAGATTTCTCAGTCCTTGATGTTACCAGTGATTCTGTCCATCTCCATTGGGCCGTCCCGACTGGGAACTTTGATTCCTTCCTCATCCAGTACAAGGATGCAGATGGCCAACCCCAAGCGTTGCCTGTGGAGGGAGACTCCCGTGAAGTCACTGTGACCAACCTGGTTCCTTCACGCAGATACAAGTTCAACCTCTATGGAATTTCCGGGCGCAAACGCTCCAGCCCTCTCTCCACGGATGCCACCACAGGTCAGCTTCAGATGACATTCTACCTGGGGAAACTTTAAGATATTCTAAATTGTATTAACATTCCTGATTTCCTTAACAAATGCCTTAGTTGCTGAACATTAGAACTGCTGGATTGCATCTACAACATCGGTGTAATTTCACCTAAACCTTTCCTTTTCTTCCCCCACCCTCCATATTACAGTGTTAAAGGAGGCTATTGATGTCCAACCCAACCTAGGAGAACTGTCAGTCCTGGATGTCACAAACAATTCTGTTCGTCTCCATTGGACCGTCCTGACTGGGAGCTTTGATTCCTTCCTAGTCCAGTACAAGGATGCAGATGGCCAACCACAAGCGTTGCCTGTGGAGGGAGACTCCAATGAAGTCACTGTGACCAACCTGGTTCCTTCACGCAGATACAAGTTCAACCTCTATGGAATCTCTGGGCGCAAACGCTCCAGGCCCCTCTCCACTGATGCCACCACAGGTCAGCTTCAGGATACAGTGTGATTGGGGGTTCTTCAGATGTTCACTCTTCCATATTAACATTCTTGACTTCCTTAACAAAAAACTTTTTTACCGATTGTTCCAGTTCTTGAGTGACACTTTCAAGACCAACGAAATTATAAGTAAATGGTTTTTTTAAATCTTTTTCCTTGTTTTACCCCATCTTATCCATTCAGAGGAGACCATTTCTATCCAACCCAGCCTGGGGGAGTTCTCGGTCCTGGATGTCACAAGCAATTCTGTCCATCTCTACTGGACCGTCCCCACAGGAAACTTCGACTCCTTCCTCGTTCAGTACAAGGATGCAGATGGCCAACCCCAAGCGTTGCCTGTGGAGGGAGACTCCAATGAAGTCACTGTGACCAACCTGGTTCCTTCACGCAGATACAAGTTCAACCTCTATGGAATCTCTGGGCGCAAACGCTCCAGGCCCCTCTCCACTGATGCCACCACAGGTCAGCTTCAGGATACAGTGTGATTGGGGGTTCTTCAGATGTTCACTCTTCCATATTAACATTCTTGACTTCCTTAACAATTTTTTTTACTGATTGTTCCAGTTCTTGAGTGACACTTTCAAGACCAACGAAATTATAAGTAAATGGTTTTTTTAAATCTTTTTCCTTGTTTTACCCCATCTTATCCATTCAGAGGANAAGGTGGAGGGACGCGGGAAAAATTGTTATAAAGCGTGCTTGTCACGCTGAAATCGGTACGTCTGGTCACCCTAGCCAATACACAGGTGTGAAGATGTTTCCTTTATCAACTGCCCTAAGAGCCAAATAAACATATATTCCCATGGCTATCTTCCGTTACACAGTAAAGTGTCACGTCCCAGATGGCCATCATAAACATTCCCCCAAAAGGTGATGGGACCTCAGGCATTTCGGCACCAAGAAACCAGTTGTAAAATATCAGTCTTCACAGGTACTACCAATAAATTGACTCCAGGGCCCCCCTCCTCCCAATTGAATGGCAGTATCACTTTTAGGGATCTAAAATGCTTTACAAGTGTTCCATATGTTCTGTAATGATGTGTCTTCCTTTCTATTTTCCTGGAAGAAATATGTCAATTCTTTTTCCATATATTGCTGGAAACCTTTTTCTTTCAATATTCTTGAATTTAAAGTCCATCTCTCCTTTTTTCTCTGTCCCCTCCAAGTCATTGTTTTTGGATTATGATCTGCCCATGTGCTTATATCTATGTCTATCTTAATTGTTTTGAGTGTTAACTCTGTTGACATCCACATCATATCAATTCTTGACCATGACCAATGTCTATTTGAGTAAAATGTATATTGTCTTTCTTTCGTGTGTCTTATTCTCCAAACATCTTGCAAATTTAATCCTTCCACCATCGTGAAAAATGTTTTGGGTAGGGTTTTTCTTGGTTTCTTGTTCAACTTTGTAGCTTTATAGTTTATTCCATTATTTACAATTGCATTAGTCTCCTGATATACATATATCTTCATATTCATATTCTATTATCTTTTTGTGTAGTTTCCCAAAAAAATATTCTTGTTTGTCATTTGGGGCATATATTGCCACTAATAATATCTTTCTGAAACTTCTTTCCACCAATTTGAAAAGGGAAGATGCATCATTATGGAGACAAGGTAAAATCTGGGTTATGACAGCTGAGATGGATTTCACTTCCCTTCCCTTTCTGAGGAATAGTGAGCTACTCTTCCTCCATGGTGCTCTGTCTTTTGCAATTCATTCAGAGAAGGTGTTGGGATTCCAGATGTTTGTTGAGATGAAGAACCCCATCTTAGAAAAAGAAAATAGCTTTATCAAGCTCTTCTGGGAAAGTGCCTTTGAATGTTCCTTCTCCATTTCTATTATGAATGATGAAAATGAGGTTCCCTGCACTGGAAAGGAGAAACTGGAAGCTCTTCCTACATCTGTGTTTGAAATGGACATGACTAGCTATAGTTACAACATCTACAATGCCATATAAGTGGTGACACATGGTTTGCATGACTTCCATTCATCCATGGTGGAATACAGAGCTCGAGGGCATGAAGCCAAACTGATACACTAGGATCAAAATTTGTGGAAGGTAAACCCTTGGGTGAATCAGTAATGTCTTTATGAATTATTACAATGCTTGCAATATATTACAATATTACAATATATGAGAACAAACATGTACAAGGGAAGGACAAGAAGCAATGGATGGAAACTAATCAAGGAGAGAAGCAACTTAGAACAATTAATCAGTGGAACAACTTGCCTCCAGAAGTTGTGAATGCTCCAACACTGGAAGTTTTTAAGGAGAGGTTGGATAACCATTTGTCTGAAGTGGTATAGGGTTTCCTGCCTAGGCAGGGGGTTGGACTAGAGCAGTGTTTTTCAACCACTGTGCCGCGG